TCCTGTCTCCGTGGACCTAGAGCGTTCAAATTTGGTAAGAGTACAGGATGTAGGATGGGAACATTTATGGCGGTTGGCACGACCGGACCGCGTCCACAGGAGGCGGGTGTACGCGAATATTTTCGATTTGGCTCCAGGGTGTTAAAGCTCGGTAGGGGAAGAGGCAGCAGTACGCGAACAATTATGTTGAGCAGTAGTGCCGAACTGCCTGCCCCCACAGGGAACGGGGTTTTAGCGAGTAAATGTCTGAGCAAAAACTACTGCTCTCGTGGACTTCGAGAGCAATATCAATAGGAGTAGAGAAGGCGGGTTGGGAACACTGACGATAGAAGAGGCCTTATAGAGCACGATCCAATAACAAATTATATCCAAGCGCCTTTATTATTCACGATCTAGCGAGCGTAATAATCTGGGAGCCTCTATTAATGATATGTCCTTAGAGAAAAAGTTCCATTGGTACAGCCACCTATTTTTGCACTCTGCTTCTCCTTGAAGTAGAAAGAATCCCTAGACCTTTCTTTAAAAGACTCTGCTAATAAAGATGGTGAGCACATCCAACTGCTAGCAGCGATAGAATGAGCTCCTTTCACCTTCCTACGGAGCAAAAATCTGTGAGCCAATCATTGAAGTAACTTCAATGTCGAGTGCTGCTTTTGACTACATAATCGCTGCACTGCGTATCCAGATAAGTTGATCGATATGTTATGATATGATAATTAATGTGACGCGCGCATTAGCGTGCATAGCCCAACTAGTCAGCAATAACTATCAACAAGACTGTAGTTGTACGCCTGTCCTCAGTTTCCTTTATTGGCGCACTCAGTTGAGTGTATAAATAAACAAATAAATAAATAAATGAATGCTATTAGGAATGCAACAGGTCTTGATCAGTCAGAATTGTCCACACATAGTTTGGGTGTGGAATCAAAATAACGACGTATTTTGTACTTAGGCGATTAAAGCGATAATACCAGTTTCAGACGGGTCGTTGTGAAAAAATTTCACCTAAGTAAGTTTTGGAAAGTATTTTTCCAAAAACAAGCTTATCTATAGAAAACATTCCACCTCTGCGGTCCAACCACACAGAATAATATTCTGATCAGGACTAGTGACTACACTCATTATTTCCTCACTGAGGTCGCAAAGAATGATTTAAGAACTAGGCGTAAAGTAACAAATTTAAAGAAGTCCGCAATTACACAGCATGCACTTGCTATTCTTTACGAAAAGCATTCCGATTCCACGGAATCCCAAACTGTCATAGTTTAGCCATGGCGGACGTTTTGGGTAAACTCTCTGCTTTGGTGGATCGCCTCAAGGTTTGTTCGTGTTTTTTTTTTAGTTTTTCGTGATCTTGTTTCAAGTTGCTCCCAGTCGAGAATTGGTTTGCTTCAAACCAGGGAATAGGTTGAGGTTCGCCCCTGTTGAGAATGATTTCCTGCTTGGAGGGGAAGTGACTGTCGTAGGCCCAGAAAATGAAGGCCATGTATATTGTCCTTTCTTGACCTTTTTTCTAAATTCACTTAACACTCCTCGTATTCCAAAAGTAACTTTCTCCGCGGCCCCGCAGGTCTACAAAAGTTTCAAGACATTCGGGCGGGACAATATGCGTATGAAAATTCTCCGATCTCCGGAAATGATAGTGAATCTAAAGCGACAGAGGGGATGCGCTATCGACACAGTAGCCGTGTTGGCTCTGCGCAGAAGTTCCCCCTTTCTGGTCAATAGAGCTTCGAGTAGGGGTAGAGAGGAAACCTAGGAAATGAAACCGTGGGAACGACAGAAGCAATCGTACATTTCCTTCCCTTTGACAACCCTCTGAAAAATTTTCGATTTGCTACCGTCAGTGACGAGACGATTCTATGCTCATACGGCATACCCACGTTGAGTGCCTTGGGCGACGGAAAAGACGAATTACAATTATCGGGTCTCATTCAGTCCTTCAGAAGAACTCTTTTGTCGCGTACTACTCATAATAGAGCAGAAAATTGAACCAAGAATTTTGCATAGCTTAGTAAAGACTAGCAGTCCTCATCAGTCACTTTGCGTTGACCTCTATGACTCCACCTTATAAAGGGCTTAGGATTGATTTGAATTTGTTACGCTTTACTCAGGGAAGAGCGACTCCTATGATAATGACACCTAAGGGGATCACTACGATTCGCGATTACAATATCGTTTTTATGACGCGTCCCAGCACTGTTCACAATGCTTCACCCTCCGCCTTGACCAGTTGACCAAGGTGTCTATCAAAGTAACCAGTAATCGCTCTCTCTCTCGATAGAGTGGAGTTGTAGAAGTGAACACCACTCAACTGGCTGTTTTCAGTCTTCGACGACGCAGCCGAAGAGCGGCCGATGGCGGCGCTAGCCACTTGTTGGCAACACTGGCGCGTAATCCATCGACGTCCAGTGTTATCAAAACGTAACCAGCATCGCTCTGGTCGGGCGCGCCCTCGTCGGTTGCGTCGTTGAAGTCTGAAAGCAGCCATTGTCGAGGATGTTGCTTCTTCATTTAGCTAGGCAAAACATTAATCCATATCATTTTTTGCTCCACTATCACTATTGTGACCCGCTGTAACAAGGAAGGTCATCTGGAAATTCGAGCCCGTTCAAGTCAATGATGAGGTGATCCTCCTTTTTCTGGCCCCCTTCTTTCCCTATTTCTCGTTGCCGGGTGGAAAGAACGATAGGCTTAGAGCGTCATCTCCGGTCAATATACTTACTACATGATCGGTAAGCTTTGTGACTGACCCTTTGTGGTGTGACAGTAAAACAGGCTTGTTCGAGTCCTTTTCTGGACTCAAACAAGTATGTTTTGCTTCGCTTTTTCGTATGTCTACTGGTTACAACTACTTCATTCGTTCCTCTGTGTTTTGCGTTGACCAGCTAAGCAGGACAGGCATGTTTGGGCGTTAAAAATGGGTAAAGTCGTAGCCGTGAGTTGCCCATGTTGTCAAGCAAGTAATATAGTGTTTCGATTAAGCGGCATCCCTTAGCCCATCGCCTTTTGCCTTTTGCACGTCGGCCAGGCCGGAGCACGAAAGTGACAAATGGATCGCGATATTTACCTGCCCCTTCGAGTATAGATCACACAAAACTGCCTCGACCACTGAATGCAATCGAGAGAAGAAACATACTCGTGGGTTACGTTTGAAGTTTAAAGCTGGTGTGGGTTGCCGTTCTAAACCATAAGTTGTTTCCGTTGCGGTGAGAATAACAGTGTTCTGCTATTGCTGCTAATTTCTACGTATTGGTTCCAGTCATTGAGGGCAACCCTATGTATAGCCCACGGTTACAGATATTGTTGTAGTTGTTGTAGCTAAATGTTAGTGTTGTTTAGAACTTTCCAGAGTGGATCAACAACACCTGAAACAGACATGATGTTGAACACAATTCCGAAAGATCTTCTTGAGGAAATTTTATCGGATAGTGGTGGCACATTGGCCGAGTGAGTTTCACATTTCGATTTTTTTTTGTATATACCCTCATACAAAGCGATTGAGAATATTGCAGATTTCAAGATGTCGCCGTTGATTTCCTGAAGTATCTTCTACCATCCTGTAGTAAAGACACTCTGGAAGACTATGGTTCTCTCACTCCTCTTCTCCTTCAGCGCCTTAGGACTTCTGAGGAGATGGATTCCCTTGATGACATAGCTGCATGTATACTCTCCCTATCCATGGTGGGCATATGCTCTATCTATTTCATTATTTGAAAGGATTTGTAAGGAAAAATTACGTCTAATTTCTTCGCCTATTCAGGTAAACACTCATGACCAAGCAGAGTACCTGCACGATACTGTCGATGTACTTTCATCTTATTGTATCAATAATTCGAGATACTTCCCATTCACGCGGATACTTCAGCGTCTTACAGACTGCATCATTGTTTTGCGACCTTCCTGCAGCAACTGCGGTTTGTGCTTCACAGCAATATTATTATGATTTCATTGTGGACCAGTTCAATCAAGTCGTTTTTTTTGTTAGAAATAGAGTTTTCTCTCCCGAATGACACTCTACTTGCTGAGTAGTTTAAGACAAATAGTGACGCCTTCATAGTCTGGCGTGCGATAGGAGACAGCAATAAATGAAGGCCGTCGGTGTCGATCAGTGACCTTACCTTGAAGGCGACAAAAACTTGGTTGTTATGAATTGCAACTTAACGTAAACTACTTAGCATTCGGTGTGGAAGTTGTAATCAGTTGAAATAAGAAGAAAAACAGACTTGTCGATCGAAGGCAACCAGTGAGAGCGATATAAATCTTCAAGTCGTGTGAATAGGTAATGTTTCAGTGTAGTTTTCAGGAATCCGCAGCTGTTATAATCGCACACGAGTAGTTTTGACGTCATTTTCCTCATTCATGGGCGGTTGTTAATTGGAAAACCTAAAAATAATTAGACCATTCTTTGCTTTTAGCAATAGCTTGTATGCTTTTACGATTTTTTTAGAGTACCGAACTATATGATCTCTTCTAAAGACCAACGCTTTCAGATCTTGTATGCTCTAATCATACTTGGCCCGCCGATACCAGGACGCTTATAGACAGAGCTTTGAAGACGAAGACAGAATTGATTACGGATGATACAAGAGTTTTGGTATTCCACTTAGTAAAAGAAGTAGTAGAGGTAAGTTACTTCATAAGGCTTCTAATTTTTTCCCCATTTCACCTTTTCACATTGTTTCTTTTCAGACTCTAGGAGTAAAATGGTTTGCTCCTAACGTGCCACTGCTCTTATTATTAGTACATCTTATAGTTGTTCAAGTTCGAATAAGCCTAGACAAGCCAGACAATGTTGATCCTCAAATCCTCAGTGTCTGTTATCACATTCTCGAAGTGAGACTGAATTTTGATTCTCTCTATATATAAAGCGGTAACTTTGTGTGTCCGTTTGTATGCCCGTTTGTGCGCCCTTCCAAGAGTCGCGATGAAGAGTGTGAATTTCACGTGAAGGCGGTGAGGAAGCAGTGGCTGCTTTCATAGTCCACGATTTGGCCCGCGAGCGCGCGAGCGACGAGGGCGGCGCTTGTCCCTTGTTTACAACATAATCTTGGTCGATATCGCCCGACGAGTAGCCCCCGTCGCTCGCTTGCTCGCGGGGCAAATCGCTGACTATGAAAGCAGCCAGTTATGAAAAGGGAAAGGGAAGTCAGCCGATACTGTTTATATTGGTCCTCAATCAAGTCGTAGGTAAGGGGTAGTGGGCATGTGGTGCACATCTTAGCGTGTGTAGCCCAACTAGTTTCCAAAATTGTAGCAGAGAAGCGATTATGAGGCTGTTACTGCTCCGTTTGCAGCTCTCGTGCTTCCGTATCTCTCTGGGTATCGTGCTATCTGAATACTTCCGTGTATTTCATTTATGTTTTCACAAATCCCATGGGATATTGGGCGGGTACATAGTATCTTCAATACTGGCGAACTTGTTCCGGTATTGAAGGTACTATGTGCCCACCCAATATCCCATGGGAAACTGTCGCTGATGAGTTATTCAGCTTGGTAAACGGTTACTACACTTTTAGAGGGTGTCCCACATATTGTCGTTATTTCTTCAAGCACACTTTATGAGTCTTCTGAAAGTGCTATTCAAGGATGTATGGTCTACTCACCATGGAAGTTAGAATGGAGACTCAGATGGATCGATAGAGTTTTGAAATGGCTGTGTGTGTTGTGAAAACATGTGTTCTTCACACATTTTCATAGACATCTATCCATCTCTGACATCTAGATAAAGCGTCATTCTTATCAGTGCTCCAAATCCTCGCTGATAGGGTTATAGCTTCCATGTATGAAGTGCTTGTGCATGTTAAGCACTCATTTGGAACCATCTTCATAACTTCTTCAGAAGGTCGTTTGGCAGATTTGGAAAGCCGATTCGAAATCAGCACTCGGAAATACGTATGACAGTATAAGTCTCATTTCAAATAGCCGTTTCAACTTGAGAACTTTCCTTTGTAAGTTAGAAGATGCTGTGAAGATAGAAGAAAGTAGAGACGGCCTACAAGCACATTAGGCTCAGTGACGGTGCGGGATTAACGCTAGGAAGAAGAAGGAGAAGGGGAGCGAGGCTGGCGATCACTGCAGCGATTTCACAGTACCTACATTTCGCTCCGCTGTACTTGCGGAAAAAAATACTGCGTACTTGGAGTGACTGGGAGTCTGCAAATCACATATCAAGCTGTTATCTTTCATGATATACGGTGTCATAGCACAAGAGGATTTGATTCCTTAGTAGAAAAGATGTTAATGTAAGAAAACTGCCCGGAAGAGATGTAAGCTTAGCCTAATACAGTCAGCACATTCCATAATTAAATCTCTTCACCTCTTACCTTTTTTGTACTACCCTGTTGTTACGCCTCTCATTGCAGATGGGTATACAATGCGTAGAGGAGTCCACTCTCCTGGACGATGCTGCGGCTACTCGTATAGCAACTGCTGTACGCGAGGCTGCATTTTATTCTGTCGACTATTGGGTAAAAACGGTTGAACAAGAAGAACATTTGAATGAGCATGTAAGTGGTTATCGGCATTTTTGCATCGGTAGTAGCATCATCCGCTCGGTGATGTCTTATAAGCTTGAGACGATGTATCATGTTAGTTGTTCTCAAGTATATAAGTAAACAATTTAGGTCGAGCTTGTCTTATATCGTTTTGTTTCGTGTCTTTTGGCAATAGGAGGTGCTGAAATATTACCAGTCCCACTCATGCGAGAATGTTCGCCACTAATGCTCCAAGTTTTTCAACGGGAAATAGTCAATGGGAATTATTCGACTGCACACTTGCTTCTACCTAATCTCGATGTCTTGCCCAAATTAACAATGAATGTCATCACCTTACTCGTAGAAGTTGTAATCGCACAGTACCCTAATGGCGAGTGGAAAAGTGCACTAAATGAGGTAGTATTAACTCTCGAAAGCTTGAACGGACGAGTGGACTACTATAATGCAGAAACTTTGGCGGAGGCGCGTACAAAACTAATGAAGGCTATGCCAGATTGTGAACTTTCTTCAATGCTCGCAAAATTGTGATTGTTGTTTCTTGTCTTCTGGATTGCGGTTTACTGTTGTATGTGAATGATGTTGATGATATTTTTCTTGTCTCTTTTTTCGTTTCTCAGGATGTAGTTCTGTCAAAGATATGATAGGTACAAAACAAAATAAAAATTCTTTATGTGGGCCACCCAATATTCCATGATGGTTTATCCATTAGTATCGCTATATTACTCTCCCATTACTTGCAGGATTTTTTTTTGCGGAGGAATTTGTGAAACGATTAAGAAGCTTTCTTGTACATTCACCTTCTCAGGATGATTATTTTGTCCGAAACAAACGAACCATCCGAAGGTGTGCGACTGTCACAGCCTCAAGTGGTCGCATATCTGGACGGGGAATGTGCTGGCGAGGGGAAGCTGTGCGTTGCCGAGAGGTAAGAGCATTCGTTTCAACCTCTCTTATAGTGAGTGAGTGAAGACGAATATAATTCTTCTTTAGGCAAGTGACTTGGATTTGTCGCTCCTCCGGCTTAGGGTTCTCTTTGACCTATCCATCAATTATACTTCATGCTGTGTCCACTGATCTTAGTTCATTTCCACACGAATGCATATACGTGCTTGTTGATGCGTCAAAAAGCGGTACAGTTTTGCTGTTCTTTATATTGCTTTCATAACCACGTGGTTTGCCACTTCTTCATCGCTCTGAAAGAATGCCAACCAGGTGTTTTCAGAGCGATGTAGAAGGTCAACTATTCCAATTTTTACGGCAGCTGAGGCCCAAAATGTCCAAGGTATCGAGGAGAACATTGTTTTTTTTTTATTTTGGGGTCTAGGGGCGCGGCTTTTCTGTTTTGTCAGTTGTGGTACATTCAGATCTAAAACTTGCTGAGGAGGAGTTGAATGACGGTAATGATGCTTGCGAAGAAGACGACGAGGACGAAAAAAATGTCGTGATACGTTTCGTGCCTTCTGATCTCAGCGTATGTAAGTGTTGTTTTTTACAGTGCGGTGAACTATCAATGATTGTAACTGACAGTTTGTGTGAAATGCTTGCTGAAACCAAATTTTGAGCTAAATCCTCAGCTTGCTTTCGTTATTCTTATTTTTCAGTGCAACAAATTTACGAAGAAATGTGTAGCTGTCAAGAACTAAATCCCGACGAAAATGACGACTTCTCAGGTCAGTTTCTATGAAATGAGTTGAAGGGAGTCCGCATGGCTTCAATCATTACAGACGAAGATGGAGGTGGAGACATGATAGTAGATGAAAGTGTAGGCAGCGGTGGAGCTGAATGGTATACAGCCGAGAATGTGAGTTTTCTTCCGAAACTTCAACGTGGCTTGTATTGGAGAAAGGTAGTCAGAGGCTTTCTAGTTCGCCTGCCCCAGGTGGCGCCGATAAGTGTAGTAGATTAAAGGGAGAACAATAATTGCAACACCTGAACTTTTTTTTACACAATAATTATCGTTATCACCTGCAACATGCTGCCAATTAATCCAGAGCGTAGAAACTTCACGGATTTCCTTCATTAAGGGCTCCGCTTCACGGAATGAATTCTCGGTTGGTGACGAGGCTGAAAGGGGCGGTGCCGGGTGTATGGTAGGGGAATAAATCGCTTACCAAAAGTTGCCAGTTACTCAGGCATGTAGGCGGATTCTCTGTCGGAGCAGTATTGAGTGCATTTTACTTCCTCTCTCTTCGCAGGTGCTTCATGTAAGTGTAGGAACTGCGGGTGGGTAAGTATCCTGCAAATCGAACTGGTCAAAAACTGGCATTCGAGTGGTAGTAGAGTAAATAGGAGGAAGGGGGAGTTAGGATCATCTTTAACTAATGGACCGTCCCTTTCTTCACCTCTGTTAGGTAAGCCTGCTAAAATCTCAGTGCTTGAAGCAGTGCTAAGATGATGATCTAGTCTTCCAATGTAGGAACGTTACCTTCGTAAGCGTGTATAGTTGATAATGATGATGTAAGCGGAAAAGATCAAGTACGGTGATATGTATTGGACTGATAGGAACGAGAAGGAATCGCCGGCTGTACGCCGTTTTTGATAATGAAAATTGTTCTTTGGGCAGGCGACAGCAGAAGCGTCGGAAGTGTTGTTTGCCGTCAACACGCATTTGGCCATATAAAACTGCAGGAAACTTTGACAAAACATCAGTTCCCTTCTAGTCATAATAACCAATGCAATTCCCCTTACCAGCTGTACCTCATGTATTCCTTCCTTTTTGAAATCGGGGTTTACCACACTCAATGTCAATCAAACCCGTACTGATAGAGAAAAAGTAATGTCAGTCTACACATTGCGAAGTAATTTCGAAGAAACCTCAGCTCAAAATTAAGAGGACCTGCGCCAGTATCAGTATAAAGGATGTAACTAATGAAGAGTTCCGAACATCAGATAAAAATTAAAAAATTAGACTTGGTTGGGAATATTTCAGATTTCAAACGACGAGCACATTGAACTTAGCGAGGAAGGGCAAGCTAACTTAAATCGTATTCTGAATCATTCTTCTAACGGCTGTGGAGATCATGGTTAGTTTCGATGCCTTTGAGTTGTAATTATCTCAGACTCGTCTGAGGTTAATTCTGTTTAATTCAGTCTTTTCTGTACCACAAATTCGTTGGCTAGTGAGGTTTTCTTCGGTTTCAGAACGCACTACAGAAAATGGTGATAATGATATGGATGAGCAGTGAATGTCTTCGTATCAGATAGTTTTTTGTGGTGGTCCGTCGCGGCAGTTGGTCCTGATGCGTCTTTGATCTCGGGCATTTGCTTTCTTTCTCTTACGCCACCGATTACTCAATTCTGTTTTACGCTCTATCACTTGGATCTGATTGTGATAATCATCCAGATTGAAAGATTTTTGATTCTGTTGGTAATAATACTTTTCCCCGGTGTTATATTGAGGGTGACATTTTATTTTGAAAATGCTAATGAAAGTTTTTAGAGGATTATTTATTACATTCCGGAAGTTAATTCCTCTAAAGTACTCCCTCAGAACACGTTGTATCGGTACAATGAACATATTATCAAGGGTAAGGAACAAGATTAACTATTCTAAAAGCATCCTAAAAGCACCTAACAATAAGAAACTTGTCAATACTGTAATCGAAAACGTTATTGGAGCGCTATCCACATCAATCAAGGGAACGGCTCATTCTCGGAAAACCGACCAAAAGTCGACGGTACGCGCCCAGAGAGCCAGGCGGATTCAGCGATGGACCCCTTGTTTCTTCAGTGCTGAGTAGATATGCCATCTGCATATTGCAAGTGTATCTATGCATACGTTTGTGAAGAAAACGTGAATGCGGTCCGTATACTGCTCATGCACTCAATCAAAAGCTTGCATTCGAGTGAGTGGGAGCATCTGGGAGGCGATTCAGGGCGACTACAAAAACCAAGCCCCTCGTCCTAAGAAACATGAAGAGTGGTAAGACGTTTAAAATCTAGAAACTATAACTGACCTGCAGCAGTTCTTAACTGGAGTTCCAATGAAAACCTTTCAAATACCTTCATCATGCATAACGCAGCTCATCGGTATAGAAGAAACTTCAAAAGAGTGTCAGCAATACATAGGGCCAAACCCTCTGCTAAATAAACCATGAACTAGAACTGAGACGCTGAAATACATCTCCGAATCCACGCTAGTACACTGGATTTTAGGTATTTGTCTGTAATTTTTTCGTAATCAGGTTATCTAGATCGCAAACTGGGTCTACAACAATATGATGGTCGTGAGCGGTTTCCTGATTATACACTTCGAAATCTTCCTAACGAATAACGAAACTATAACGAAAAACAGTAAATTTAGGGGTAGTGGTGAGAATCCGCGTCTGTCACTTGCGAGACCAGGGTTCAATTCCAGGAAGGTAAGAATTTTTGGTCAGGCCACTATACTACCGAGGATCCGCTCTTGCTCGCTCAAAGTTCCCTTGC